GTCTTTCAGGTATACATCAATCAGTCCCTCAAACTCACTCAAATAGCCATTGTTAAATGATTTCCCTTTCCTTAATCTATTCTCGACCTTCTATTTCCACGTTTGTCCCGGCTGTTCAGGTCTTTATTCAACGCGTCACGGACCATTTTATCTGCGTTTAGTCGCCAAAAATAAAATCCGTCAAAATTTCCGTTGTGGACTCGACACAAACACGCGCGAAATTAATATTATTCTTGAAAAAGTGGGAAAAATGGTGGTTTTCATTGTGTCTCTCTTTTTTTCTCTCCGTCTGCCTCTCTCTCTTTGCTTCCATTGGTCTCTCTCTCTATCTTCGGCTACGTGGCTCTTTTCTCTCTCTTTGTATATATATATATATATATTTCTTTTCTTCTCTCTACATCAGCCTGCCTCTCTCTCTTCCTCTCCCTCTCTCTCAGTTCTCACGCATGGGGGCCCAGATTAAGCTATTTTAAGTAATCTCAGGTATATCTCAAGTGAAACTTTTAAAACACCGACAATAATTATGTTAATAACGCATTTCACACACGTAACATACATACATATATAGGAAGAGACGAGAAATTATTAAATCAAACTTGACGTACACGAACAGCATAAAACAATTATTAAATATAAACACCTAACTGGATAAAAGCACACACAAGTGGAGAGAGAGAGAGAGAGAGAGAGAGAGAGAGAGAGAGAGAGAGGCAGGTGTAGAGTGAGTAAATTAAAGCTGGTGGCGACAGGTGAGTCATAACAGGTATTAATGGAAACTGTCACACCCACCTGTCCTACCTTTTAACCCTATATTACTTTTTTTCATTCACTCACTAACTTTTATACTTTTAAACACATATATTTTTTTGAGGATGAACACATGAATGATCTCAGAAACTTTACGTACATCCTATGAGAAAGATGACTGGGTGTAAATACAAGTAAAAATGGGGGAATTAACTAGAGATGAAATAGAAAGTAAATATTAGCTAAAATGAAGAAGCAAATTAAGATAATGGGGGAGTTTCAGGTATCCTTAGAGTGGATCTGTCAGAAAATGGGAGAATGAGTGATGAATTGAACCAAAGTAAAGAGCAAGTGCAAGGGAAGAGAGTAAACAGGTGGATTGATAAATGAATGGAATATGAGATGAAGAGAGAGAGAAAGAGTGATGTTTGTGAAGGAGAATTACTAGACTAACATCGCTATTATAAGGTTGTGAAGAATAAAATGTAAATGGTATAGAGAAAAAACAGATAAGAACGAACGTGAATAGTGTGTTTGGGTGTGATAAGAGGCAGGGAATATAAAACAGATGAATCAGGGTTTGGCCAAGAGGTGTGTGTGTGTGTGTGTGTGTGTGTGTGTGTATCTGGCTACCTTGCTTTAATATGAAAAAAAGCTTGAAAAAGTATTACAAGCGCACACACACACACACCTTTTCCTGTATAACTATTCAGATTTCAGTGTAAATCTTTGTGTATAAATCACAATTAAATCTATATACAGAAAGAGGATTCTCTACACTTTGCCTTTACTGCAAGATGATTTACTGGGTGTTAAATGTATAATGTACTCGAATCATAAATTATAATAACAATCATGCTACTACTACTAATAATAATAATAGCAGCAGCATTGTACCTCAGGTGTTGTCATCATAGTCAACAGGTAATGCCATATACATAAATGGGGTTGTTACTAATTAATACTGAAGACCAGGTCTCTCTCTCTCTCTCTCTCTCTCTCTCTCTCTCTCTCTCTCTCCTTGTATATAAAAGTTTTTTATTTATAATATAATATATAATAACCCTCGATCAGTCTTCATTAATCACAACCATCGTGACACTCCATTAATATTATGTATTTAAAATTACCTACGCGGGTCACCAACACAATTTTTCACTTTTTGCCATTTTTTTGTGGTTCATATTAGGGGAAAGTATTGTGGCCGATTTTTGGAGGCAAAAGAAAAATTAATTTGAGTTGTATGTTGAGGTATGAAGAGTTTTGAGGGTGACTTAAGCGCTTTGGAGGAGATATACGAGTTTTGGAGTTGTCTTAAGAGTTTTGGAGATGACTTAAAGAATTTTAGAGGTAACTTGAAGAGTTTGGAGGAGACTTATGTTATAGATAAAGAGTTATGGAGGTGATTTATACTACAAATAAAGAATTTTAGCGGCCAATATTTCCCTGAATGTGTGTGTGTGTGTGTGTGAACTCTTCTACCTCGTGTAAATAAAGGGTGGAATTGAACCAAACTCGGTGGGTGGATATATCAGAACAACATCTTCCCAACGAGTTCGATAATCAATATTTTGCGTCGTTGGGGTAGAGAGTTATGACCTCTTTTGCCCTTTGTTGTGGCGCAGCGGGGAACCTCACAACTTTTGCTGACATCTTTCTTACAGCCCAGGAAATGTTCAGTGTTTACCATGAACGTCTTAGAAATAGGCATGAGTGGGAAAGGGTGGTGGTGGTTAGGGAAGTAGGAGGGACAGAGAGGGGGTAGGGGTGATGGGAGGAAGGGGGAGAGGGGTGATGGTGGTAAGGATGAGAGGGATGATGGAGGTAAGGAGAGGGATGTAGGGGGAGAGGTGATGGTGGTAAGAGCGGAAAAAGAGTGATGGGGAGGGGAGAGGTGGTAAGGGGGGGTAGGGGGTAATGTTTAGGAAAGAAAGCGGACATTGTAAGGATAAAGAGACACGTAGAAATAACAAATTACCATGGCATGTCACACACACAGCAGAGGTATACTGTTCATACGTAAATACATTTCGCGAAACCTCCATTTTACGGACTCCACTCTCCATATAATCCGTTAGATGGGGGTTTCATATCTAACGGATCCCCAATATGACGGACTTTCATCTCTACAGTTCGTTAGATGGAGGTTTCACACATAAAGGGGTATATACGTCTAAGGAAATATGCGCAGAATCATTATATACACATTCAAAACAACCTAGATATATTTTAATACATATATATACACGGATATCTTATATAATATATACCTGGATCTATATACGTATGCTGTATATAGGCCCTCGTCATCAAAGACACGTAAGGTAAATATTTCCTTTAGATATAGTACTAGTAGTGATGATAGTAGTAGTAGTGATGGTGGTTATGTTCAACAGATCAATAGCTGTCTTCTGGAACCACTCCAAGTTACAGCTCTTATATACAGTCTAAAATGTTTCGGGATCTGTAGAGCCTACAGTCTCTGTTAGTATACTGTCTATCTTCTGTATACAGTATACCTCACATACATAACCATCCATCAACTTCAGTATATACTGTGTATATATATACACACACAATGAATGGAGAGAGGTTGTCAAGGTGGAGGATATAGAAGAGAGAGGCAGGAAGACTACTGGTTCTGTCATCTTTATGGAAATCCACAAAGCCTCCGTCGCTTACTGAATTTATCAACATTTTTACCAATTACTATGTTAATGTATGCACCACCGCCCATGTATATATATATATATATATATATATATATATATATATATATATATATATATATATATATCATGTAAATCCACAATGAAAACGTGGCTAAGATAAATCTTGATAAAATCACACCTTAGCTTCCGTCTTTATTCAAGACATCTTCAGAGGCCTCTGAAGATGTCTTGAATAAAGACGGAAGCTAAGGTGCTCCGTTGTTTCCATTTTCCCGTGTGATTTTATCAATATATATATATATATATATATATATATATATATATATATATATATATATATATATATATATATATATATATATATATATATATATATATATGTGTGTGTGTGTGTGTGTGTGTGTGTGTGTGTAGTGTAGAGACGCCGCCAGTGGTGTAGACAACATTGTGTGGTGGTATTAATCAAGGCAGGATTATATCTATAAGCTAACTGACCCAACTTGTTCAGACTCAGGACAGTTACGTCGTCTGTACTAGAGTTCTGGTGGCCCACGGTCTTCCTCTGTCTCGATAAAAAAAAAGACATTACGATTTTTTCATTTTCATTCTTTTTATTTACTGTATATACGAGTATAAGTTAATTATAACGTGGCTCACTCTAAGTCTCCTTGTCTTGTTATCTTCCTCCCCATCTCTCTTTTTATGAAAAAAAGCATAAAAATAATAAACAAACATAAACAATACTCAAGATAAATGAGAATAATGTAGCCAAGGTGTCAGAGGAGGGTGAGTGTAGCAGCGTGTGTCCTGCAGGAGGGTCACAGTCACACCTACCACGTTTACACTTGTACTACACCACTGGGGGCCAAAAGGTCAAACGTCACAAGCAAACTTTTGAAAGAGGTATTACCCTGCAGAGGTTGACACGCTCTCAAGTGTTAGCTAAATAAACTTGAAACTGATGTGCAGCAGCTACCTATATGCAATAACAACAATAATAATACACACTACCCTTCGATTACGTGTACGAGTATTAATGCATGCTATTGGATAACTTAAAGATTAACCCACAGCTTATTCCACCTTAAGCCGAGCCAGCCTAATTCTAACCTAACCTCACCTGCATTGCGTTAGGTTAGGGTGTTTAATCAGGTAAAATAAGCTGGGGGAGTTTATCTTCAGGTTATCCACAATATTAATACTTTAAGCTTCACTGAAAATAATAATCAAAAGCTGGACCAACACAAGAGATACATACATTGCTAGGTGACCACAAGCTTCTAGTACAAATTTATCATAGCGAGGAGTGTTGTGATTATATGAGACAACTGTGAACCATCGATTGTTTTGTGTGTGTGTGTACACGAAAGCGTCATTTATCATCCTCTAAGTTTCAAGTGTTAATATACTAGTCACTATCTTTTTATTATATTTAGTTCTTCAGTAAAACATTTTACTCCGTGTTTGGGATTAGCAGCTGCCTGAGCCAGAGTGGGCAATGTGTAGGGCTGACAGACAGACATGAGGTGAGTGTGATGTGTGTCACAAGGGAAGTAATGAAGTTTATTTCTCTTTCCTCAGGTTCTCCTTGTCTTACGACCTCTGATGCTGAGTGTGACTTTCGATGACGTCTGCTAGCGTCTACGTGGTGACCTCACGACCACCTTCCCCTACACACATGTGGTGGGCGGTGGTGACAGCGTGGTTGTGGTTAACCCCTGTAGTCTCAGGACAGTATGGGCTCCTCGCGCCGGCCTTCTTGTCACTGAGGAGCGACCCTGGGGTGTTGTTGTCCTCGTCGGCAGCTCTCAGGTCAGGGGCGGTCCCCAGCACGCTCCTGACCAAGCTGGGGGAGCGTCCGCCTCTCCCCCGCCGCAGTGCCTCCACCAGGGAGAGCGAGATAGCCGCCATCTTCAGGGGCGTGGCCTACGGCGCCCCGACCCAGGGTCCAAACTCCACATCACCTGTCCCACCCACAACCACCACCACCACTACTACCACCAGCACTACCACCACGACCCCCACCACTACCCCCAGGGAGGAATACAGGCCCTGGGCAATGGAGGATGGAGGGGTGGAGGTAGTGGGACTACCACACAACACTGTGGTGTCTACAGCAGCAGGAGGGGAGGTCTCCTACGTCCTCCACGACGCCACCAACGTCAGTGACGACGGGGAGGCGCCACCACGACCATCCCAGGCCACCATCCTGATGGACGATACAGCCACAGTGCCCGCGGCCGCCACCATCGCCACCACGGAGGAGGGTGTGAGGGGCTGGGGGGAGAGAGAGACGACGCCTCTTATAGTGGATATGTCTGAGGTGCGGTGGTGGCTGGGGGCCGCCTGGTGGGTGCACGTGTACGTGTCTGCAGGTCTGTTGGCCCTGCTGGCTGCTGCTGCCCTCTGCTGCATGGTTCGATCCACCTCGGGCGTGGTGCTGCCCCGCCCACACTACCTGGGTATCCACACACTGGTGTTCCTGGCCGCCGCCCTCAGAAGTCTCCACTTGTTCCATGATCCCTACGGCGTGGAGCGCCGCCTTCCCGAGGCTGCGGCGGCGGCGGTGGAGGAGACCAGCTGGCCTTGTTTGACGGCAGCACTGGCGGTGCTTGTGGTGGTGTTGGCCCGGGCAGGGGGTCACTCACGGCCCACACGTCCACACGCCACCCTCGTACTCACCCTCATGACGGCACTGCATCTGTCCGTATCCATCACCGCCCACTTGGCCGCCCACCTGCTAGTGAAGTACGCTCTCCCCTTGCGGGTGGTGGCCCGGGCCGTGACGGCCACTTGGGGAGGTGGAGTGGGAGGTGGTGGGGTGTGGGCTGGTTGGCGGGCGGAGACGTGGGCGGGGGGTGAACGGGGTCAGCTGCTAGCAAGGGTTACACGATGGGGCGGGGGAGCCACCCAAAATTCTGGCCTCCAGCGTGGCGCCCGCCTGGCCCTGGTGGCCAGTGTGGCCCAAATAGTGTTGGCCATATTGCAGCTTTACATATTGGTAGCGCCCCTCACCCCCGCCGCCCATGTGTGGGCTTGGTGGACCCGCGTGAGCCTGGCCCGGGGGCTGGAGCTGGTGGTGGGCGTGGCGGTGGTGACGGCGGCAGGGCTGCTGGCCCAGGGGCGCCCCGCCCACGCCCGCCACGACACACACATCTTCTCCGTGTTAACCAGCTGTGGACGGGAAGCACGGGTGGTGAAGGGCGGGCGTAGTGCCAACGTGTTCCCTGCCAGCTCGGAAAAGCAGCACATCCTGGGCAGCTTCACCCTGCGGCCCGCCCACCACACCCTCGACCACACCGTCAAGCGGCCGCCCCTCGACTGGGCCTCGCCCGACCAGCCCGACCACAACACCAACCTCCACTCCGTCACGTCAGACTTCCAGCTCCTCTGGAATCGCGAGAGAACACAGTCAGCTACCACCTTCCGGCCGCCCTCCATGTTGGTCAACGACAGCGGCTTCGTCAGGTTCCGTACCCAAGTGGACCCAGAGCAGGCAATGGACGACGTGTTCAACCAGTCGTCCCTCAACCTGCGTAACGCGAAGTCCTCTGCGTCGCCGTACATCAAGACACATCACAACTACAGCAGCCAGACATTGCCCTCCACCAGGTACTACTGCGGCCCCGTCACCAGCGTGTCCTCCCCCGAGCGTTCGCCCATCAGGAAGCCGATCAGGTCTCATACCACCCGTGGGCGGCGGGCGGGGAGCAGAATGGGCCAGTTGCGTCCCGTCTCCCCCACCCAACATCACCTCACTCTGCCGGCGTCCTCCGCCAGCAGGTACGACGTTTGCAATTACGACGACTACGAGGTGGCGCCCTACTACCACCATCATTCTGGAAGCGTCTCCGGCAGTAGTAACATGTACGCCACGCCCCACGCCAACTCCCCGCGTCGTCATTATTCCACGCTCGGCAGTCGTCGCGAACCGCTAGTAGGCGTCCACACAGGTCGCCAGCTGACCCAGGACATCAGGGTGTGTCAGCCCTCGGACGCTCTCAGCGGCGTACTAGAACCCAGCACGTGTTCGTCCCTGTCAGAGATCCACGTGGACTACCTGACCGACGTGTCCTCCTCTAACGACGGCGTCAGCCAGGGGTCACTCCCCTTCCCCTGCCAGCGACCACGGCGACACCACCACCTGCTAACTCTCCCCCTTACCTCCACCCATTACGCACACTCCAACCCCACACACACCCACAGCCACGCCCACAAAACCCCCAGCTCTCCCCCCTCCTCACCCAGCCACCAGCCGGATGTAACCCCGGACTCGGCCGTGGTGCTGGACTACTGCTCGTCGGGCGAGGAAGAGGGGGAGGAGACTGCGGACCCTCGCGAGTCGCAGCAGCAGGGGGAAGACTTAATGCGTCTGAGCAGCACGTCCCTGAGCAGCGAGGTGAAGGGCCAGGCAGGGTCACGCTCAGGGCTGCTCAGTAAGCTTGTGGGCAGCAGCATGAGCGTCAGTTGCTACGGCTATTCCCCCCTGGATGTTGATGACACGTCCTCCCCTTCCCAGGAGACTCCAGCAACAGCTGTAGCCAAGGTGCGGCGAGTGGCGTCTTCCAGCGATCTCCAAGAGGTGTGTGAGGCCTCCAGGACGACCTCCACGTTACCTCGACCCCCAGATACTGTGACGTCACTTTGAGGCAGTTTACCATACCTGGAGGTTTTGTGTTTACCTCCACACCTCATCATGACAAGGGGGAGGGGGTCTATTCTCTCACATCCACACACCATCACTACCATCCCCTGTCTCTTACTTCACCCCCTCCAACACCTTCACACTCCCCTCACCCACCCACACACCACACCTCCACTCACCCACACACCACACCTCCACTCACCCACACTACACCTCCACTCACCCACACACCACACCTCCACCCACCCACACACCACACCTCCACTCACCCACACACTACACTTCCACTCACCCACACACCACACCTCCACCCACCCACACCACACCTCAACATATCACCCCGAGCTTGAGGTCCCCTTTACCGTACATCCACACTATATTACACCCCGCCCCCAAACACCCACATCCCCTGACATTCCTATCCTCATAAACTAACATTCTTTCCAAAGCACTACCATGATCCCTTGAACCCACCCTGATCTTACCCTCATCCTCCATCCCCACCTCACCCTTCGCCCTCACCTCACCCTCCATCCCCACCTCACCCTCCACCCCCACCTCGTCCTCCATCCCCACCTCCTTCACCTCAGTGTATATAGGTCATCCAGGTCACCTCAATATGAAGGTAGAGATAGTGTTGTTAGCTCCTCCTCAGGAACCTAGAAGCTGTGGGGCAGGTTGTGGCGGCCTGCATCCTACACCCCACTGACTGTGACATTCTATAACATGTATGATAGCCTGTAATGTGGTAATGTGTGTGACAGCCTGTGATATGAGCTGCACTCTGTCTATCAGCATGTAATATGTGTGAGTGACAGGATGTACCATGCCTGTAATATGTACTGTAGCCTGTAACAGGTATATATGGCATCCTGTAACATGTATTTCACACTGTAAGGGAGCATTTAACCTGCACTGAGCTGTTTATAATAAGCAGTTGGCTACAGGCTCTCTTAAACCTGTAAACTCATGAACAATGTCAGCTGTCATAACCAGCCTGTAAATTGTCATGAACCGTCACGAATTACTATTAGCTCTCTTAAGGCGGTTATAACCTACCTGGAAACAACCGCTAAGAAGCTGGCAGGGGACAAGAATGAGTTGGCAGGTGTCAATAGGGAACAAGGAGGATCAACCAAGTGTCAAGTGATAGCACAGGTGTCAAGGAGGATCAACCAGGAGTAAAGTGGTAGCACAGGTGTCAAGGAGGATCACGCATGTGCCAAGTGGTAGCACAGGCGTCAAGAGGAAGTCAGCAAGTGTCAAGAAGAATCAAGCAAGTGTCAAGTGGTAGCACAGGTGTCAATAAGAAGCAAGCAGGTGTCAAGGAGGATCAACCAGGAGTAAAGTGGTAACACAGGTGTCAAGTGGTAGGTAGCACAGGTGTTAAGACGAATCAAGCGGGTATCAAGTGGTAGGTAGCACAGGTGTTAAGAAGAATCAAGCGGGTGTCAAGTGGTAGGTGTCATGTGGTAGAAAGCATGTGTCAAGAGGTAACAGTAAGGTGCAGGTCGCCAGCTATAGGTGTAAGACTGGAGTCACTGTGATAAACTATTTTTGTATGTGTAGAGTATTATATCTTCTCCCAGGATCAACGTGGATATATTCTCTAGTCAACTGGGAAATAAAACTTAAATATATACTACCAATGACTTTTTCTATATACCGTAATGAATAAGTTAATAATAATAATGATGAAGATAATAATAAAAACAACAATAATGATAATAACTATAATAATACGAGAAAATATAGTAATGATGACAATATGACTAAAATAAGATGAAAAAAATGATAATAAATATAAAAAAATCACAATAGTCAACACACAGAAAATACAAGAAAAACAAAAGTACGAATAATTAAAAGAAATATCACAAAAGCAGTGAGCCCAATTAACGCGGCTAACAGTTAAAACAAAAGACATAAACAAGGAAGAGTTACACATCAGATACAGAGACACAGTGTATAATACTACTCCACCATTATGATTAACTGGAAAACATTGCCTAATTGTTGTGGGGGGGGGCGTGTTTACAATCTCACTAATTAGGCATTATCGCCAGACTAAGCTTTAAAACACATTCATTTCGCCAAACAGGGATGAAGTTTGTTGTTTCTTCATTGACGTTGTTTTCCCTAAATTATGCCAGACTTGTAAGTAGAAAACAGAGTTACTACACCAAGACACATTATCAAGTCAACAAAATTTTCAGCTAAAAATCATTCTTGGTAACACTGACACTGACACCAACTCTGGACAAAGGTTTATCGTCCTAAGAACATGAGGATATTTTCCCCTGGTATGTATTAAGTCCCTGGTCATCTAATAAGCACTGCATGATCACAGTAATTTACATCATTCAAGTCTGTTTAATGATGAGTTATCACATCTGCAACAAGGGTTATTAAAATATTTTGTGAATACTCTTACATATGTTGTTATTCCTGAGTACATTTAAAGAAGTTCCCATTCATACGATACTTTCATTAAACATATATGACAGCCGTGTGGACATTACTAAAGATACACTACCTTAATGTTCTGTCCAATAATACTTTGCAGGTATTATTACCTTCACCCTAATATATAATGTATTTCTTAGCATTATAAATACCCTCTAGCGCTGGGAAACCCTTTAGTATTATGAACAACACCCCCCAGTGTACCGTAACCTCTTTATATTATGAATAACGCCCCCTTGAGTACGATAACTTGGCCTTTTGGGCGCGAAAAGTTAATCACTCCCCTGTGTACCACAACTGGCTGCCGGACGCACAATGAATCATGTCTTCCAGTAAAAAGTAACCTTTAGTGTGTTAAGACTGAAAATCTTGTATACGATAACAAACTCCCTTATGTACGATAGCCTATTTTTTACCTGGTGGTTACCTGGTGGCACAACTATAACGAGGAGCCTCATGCACACTAACCTTATCTCTTGAAGTAACCTTGAGTGTCATGACTGGGCTCATTAATATTAATCAACTCATGTAAGATGATCATTAAGTTAATTTACCTCTTGCGTTACAGATGAAATCATAGCGTGCGATAACAACCCCAGTTAAGTACGAGTGTCTATTTTTTGTTTACTCATCTAATCCTTGTCATTTGATTGGATAATCCATACAATCATAAGCGTCATGCACCTTCAAACGTACGCAGCAAAGCTTATGAAGCTGTAGCTTGAAGTTTCGCAAGACCTTTAAAACAAATTCACAGTACCAAGTCATCACAAACGAGTGTTATATCTAAGCTAATTTTAAAGGTACGAGAGCTCTTTAAAAGCCATCTTCAAACACACGCATCTAAAATTTACCACACCATATATTTTACAGCTTTAAGTCAGCAGCTAAAAAAATAAAAAGTAACTTTAGGTGACCTGGGAAAATTTAAATGACGGCCGGATTTAAAAGCAATTACGTACTAGGAGTTTTAAAAGGGCGGCGCCCCTGGTAAATTGAACACGACCTTAGCCCCTTGTACACACCCTTCCTTCACCCCTCCCCTGCCCCCCTTACCCCTCAGTACCCTTCCACTGCCCTCTCTTTTTCCTCAACCCTCCACTGCCCTCTCTTGTCATCTCTCGCCCTCCCTTACCCCTTCCCCGCCCTTCACTACGCCTTCCCTCCAACCTCCTCTTCCCCCCACAATTCTACACCCTTTATAGTATACCCTTTCCACATTCTCTCTCTTATCTTTATCCTCTCCCTTTTATCCCCTTTTCCCTCTCTCTCTTCTCTTTATCCTCTCCCTTTATCCCCTTTCCCTCTCTCTCTCTCTCTCGTCTCCCCTCCCTTCCATACCCAGGACTAGAGGGGATTTCGGCAGCATTTCAAATTACAGTCAGAATTGAAACAACCATTTAATAGACTGGACGGGTCAGTCCTAGCACACACTGCGAGTCCCTCTCTGATTGGCCACTGCTGACACAAGAGTCCTTCTCTGATTGGTCGCCGCGGGCACAAGAGCCCTTCTCTGATTGGTCACCGCGGGAACAAGAGTCCTTCGGTCATTGGTCACTGCCCGGTCCTGGACGAGTGTGTGTTCTTCTGTGAGTGGTCAGCACTGGAGTAAGAAATCCCCCGAGATTGGTCAATATTGGTACACAAGAACTTTCCTTTATTAGTACAGTTCATATATATATATATATATAAATATATATATATATATATATATATATTATATATATATATATATATATATATATATATATATATATATATATATATATATATATATATATATATATATACAGATAAATACGTAAGAGAGCACCAAGAACAAACAACAAGCAAGCACACATACAAAAGCGACTACTAAGTCCCTCTCCTGAATTGTGGTCAAAACTAAACACAGTGAAGCCGGGGATTATAAAAACAGTAAAAAACATTTAACCCCGCGACCCTACCTCACCCCGCTCCCCCTCCCGACCACCAGATTATAGGGGGGATACCTGAAATATATTCACCCCCCTCCCGAAACATTCCCTGAACTATATGATAAAATATATTCACCGCCTGAAGTATATTCTGGAATCATTCCTGAAGCATATCCTAAAATATCGCCTGAAACATATTTGCCCTCAGAAATATACTACATTCCTGAAACATATTTATCCCTTAAAATATATCCCGATATATACTGTGTTGTAATACATTCAAGGACTGAAAAATATCCCCAAATATATTCTCAAACACGATTGGACTGAAATATATCCTGAAAATATTCACCCACTGAAGCGTTTCCTCAAATATACCCTGATATATGTTCTAAAATACATTCTTGAGGTAAATATATTGATACACTGACGGTCTTTATCACAAACAATATATACGACGGAGGAAATATGTTCCAAAATATACTCAAAGGCTGAAATATACTCTGAGAGCGAGAGAGAGAATAAACAAAGTGTGAGTAGAAGAAGAAAGTAATAAAGGAAGTAAGAGTCAGACGAGTAGAGGAAAAAGACCAATAACTTCGCACCTCGGCAGACAGGTAAACACAGACAAAATAACGGGAAAGAACAACATATACACACATACTCTCTCTTATGTGGAACAGAGAGAGAAAGTCTCCCTCTCCCACACTCTTCTTCCTTCCTAACTCATACACTCCCTCACTCTTCCACACCCTCTCTCTCTCTTCCATACCCTCTCCCTCACTCT